TACATGTGACAGTTGTGTAGCTTGGTCTTCTTGTGGGACTCCTAACAGTGGGACCAGGGACTGTCTCTGACTCTTTTACTGACTTTTGGGACCCTACTCCCCATACTGGGTCACCTTGCCCAGCCTTAATACATGGGGAGGTGCTTAGTCTTACTGCAACTTGATCTGCCATGTTTTGTTGATATCCATGGGATGCCTTCCCCTTTCTGAACAGAAACAGAGGGGGGGGGGGGGGGGGGGGATGCAGCGGGCTGCAGAGGGGAGGTGTAGGGAAAGGACTGGGAGGAGAGAAGGGAGGGGAAAACAGTCAGGATGAAAAACAAATTTTAAAAAATACATAGAATGAGGGCTGGGGGTGTCACTCAGTTGGCAGAGTGCTTGCCTAGCATGCACAAAGCCCTGGTTCCATCCCAGCATGATGCAGACCAGAGCTGTGGTGGATACCCACCTGTGATCCCACAGTTGGGAAGTGAAGGCGGGAACATCAGGAGTTCAAAGGTCATCCTCTGTTACATAGTGAGTCTGAGGCCAGCCTGGACTACAGGAGACTCTGCCTCAAAAGTCAATCAATCAATCAATAAACCGGGTGGTGGCACACACACCTTTAATCCCAGCACTCAGGAGGCAGAGGCAGGCAAATCTTTGTGAGTTCGAGGCCAGCCTGGTCTACAGAGGGAGATCCAGGACAGCCAGGGCTACACAGCAAGATCCTGTCTTGAAAACCCTAAAATAAATAAATAAATAATAAATGTAAAACTACATAGAATGAGATTCAAAGGGTTTGAGTAAGTGAAAAGCTTGACTTGTTCTGTCCTTTCGGAGGTCAAGTTTTTTGCTCCTGGAGAAGATGTGGATCCATGGGGCACAGGGGAGCGCACAGGGTACCTAGAGGGCAGCAGTGTCTGGGAGCTGCATGGGGCTGGAGCAGGTCAAGGCCAGCCTACCGAAGCTTGTTCCCCTGTCCTCACTTCCTGGGTGGGGATGGATGGCCAGAGGGTGGCTCCTGGCACCCAGAGTGCAGGAATCTCAGGCATGTGGTTCTGGGCCCAGATAGAGGAGGGGGGCTTCCCTCCCTCCCGGGGGCAGGGAATTAGGTGGTACCACCGTCTAGTCATCAGCTCTGGGGCGGGGGTGGCTGGAGGTCATGTGAAGGCCGATCCTAAGTGGCCCCTCTCCCGGAGGCCCCCCGCCCCCCACAAGAGCCCACCTAGCCCCTCCCCGTGATGGGCTGGACGCGCTGGGAGGGGGAAGGGGTGAATTCATATTTTCAGGTCTTTCCTGCTGTCCTGGCAGCCTGTGTAACCAGCCACAGTAGGCCAGGGGTGTTGGAGGTGGGGTGTAACAGGGCCAGCCCCCAAGCCTGCCTCTGGCGCGGGCAAGTGCTGTGGCAGTCATGGGGCTCACCCGGAGGCAGCCTCATCCCGGGCCTCTGCTCCTCCTGGTGCTGATGTGGCTCTCCCCAAGCCTGAGTCTGGGTGAGTGCAACTCCCGAAATGGACGCCCTTAGACCTGGGGGTGCCTGGAACCCATTCCACCTCCTGAACTGGGGGCAAGGGGTGGGGGAGGGGAGGCCCGCGGAACCGCCATGTCTACCTTGCTCCTCACCTTTGTCCCCCCATAGACCTGATTCCCTACAAGCCGCAGATAACAGGCTGGGACCTGGAAGGGAAGGTCACAGCCACCACGTTCTGCCTGGAGCAGCCTCGGTGCGTCTTCGATGAGCATGCCTCAGCCAACGACACCATCTGGCTGGTGGTGGCTTTCAGTAATGGTGTGTGGTGAGGACCGGGGGTCTTGGGGTGAGGGGCATAGGCTGAGAGGGGCTACCTGGAGTTCTTGGCGGATGGCAATGTTGACTTTGTCTCTGGGTGTGGGAGTCAGGGCCGGAGACTGGCCGGGTATGTGCTATGCCCCCAGGTGGGTAAAAAGTCCTCCAAGGTCAACAGGGACCGCCTCTCCCTCTGTTTTCTTTGAGGCAGGGTCTCCTGTAGCCCACGAGGAAGGCCTTAAACTCCTGATCTTGCTGCCTCTACCTACCAAGTTCTGGAATGGTGGGCATGCACAACCACACCCAGTTCATGTGGTACTGGGGATAGAGGCCAGGGTTTATTTAGCATGGCTGGGCCAGCACTCTACCAGCTGCGTGTTAAATCACAGCTTGCCTTAGAGACACTGGTCACTCCAACGCAGTGGTTCTCTGCCTTCCTAATGCTGCGGCCCTTTAATACAGTTTTTCAGGCTGGGGTGGCCCCCAACCATAGAATTATTTCATTGCTACACCATAGCTGTAATTTACGTGATGAATCATAATGTAAATACCTGATATGTGACCCCTGTGGAAGGGTTGTTCAACCCCCAAAGGGGTCATGACCCACAGGTTGAGAAGCACCCCTCTAAGCTATCTCATTATGTCACCTGGAGAAATCAGGCCGCGCCTTCTGCGGGTCGCTTCTTGAGACAGAAGCAGTCAGCTGTTCTCTATGCCTTTAAAATAATTGTTTTACATATATGTCGGTCCAGGGGTGTTCACGTGGAATTCAAGAGGATAGCTTGGGGGGGTCGGTTCTCTCCTTCCACCCCGGGGGTCCCGGGGATCCAGCTCAGGCCGTCAGGTTTGGCGCAAGCGCCTTGACCTCTCGCCATCCCTCTGTGTTCGTATACCTAACACAGCTACAGCCGCGGCCACTCTCGCCTCCGTCTGACCCTCTTTTCCTCCAGTCTCCAGGGACTTCCAGAACCCGCAGACCCCTGCTGAGATCCCGACCTCCCCACAGCTGCCGACCGACGGCCACTATATGACATTACCCCTGTCCCCGGATCAGCTGCCCTGTGAGGCTCCCACGGGCGGCAGTGGAGGTGTCCCGGTGCTTCGGGTGGGCCACGACTCCGGCTGTCACCAGAAACCCTATTGCAACGCTCCCCTCCCCAGTCAGGGGCCTTACAGGTGGGTGGGCGGAGCCCCCGCCTTGGGATTGGATGTTCTCAGGGAGGGACTTCTGGGACCAGATTCAGACCCTCGGGCTCCGGGACCTTCTTCTGGATGCTGGCCAGTCACAGCTCCTCCCCCACGCTAGCTGTAATTTACTTTCTTTGCGTAGTGGGGGCATCAAAAAGACAGTTTCATAGTGACACACTAATGTGATCCCAGCACTCTGGAGCCAGAGGCAGGAGGATCGTGAGTTCAAGGCCAGTTGCCGCTACATAATGAGTTTGAGGCAGGCTATTACATAAGATTCTGTTCAGCAAAAGATCATCTGGCTGGGGGTGTAGCTAAGGTGATAGTGTTTATTTTGCACGTGTGAAGCCCTGGGTTCCATCCCAGCACCCCATAAACCCGGAGTAGTGGTGCATGCCTGAAATCTCAGCACTCAAGAGGGTGAGAAGCCAGGGAAGCCAGGAGTATAGGTTATTCTCAGCTGCATATTGAATTCAAGGCTAGCCTGGGCTACATGAGACTCAACCTCAAAGAAAGAAAAAAGAGAGTCCTTTCCAAGTGTGTCCTAAGAGGGGAAAGTGGGTTTCAGGATGAGATCACTGTTTCTGGTCATAAGCAGATCTGACAGAATACATGGGCTTTCCAACCCACAGTACAGATGAAGAAACTGAGGCCTGTTGTGTCGGAGTTCAAACAAGGTTCTTTTCGGGGTTTATCATGAGGTGAAGATCGCAGGTGTCCTCAGAACAGTGGGAGCCCAGACTGCAGGACAGAGTCTCAGGAGATGGCACCTCTGTCCTTCCAGCCTCCCTCTGTTCCTTTACCATAGCTGGCCATAACACCTTTCTCCTGGCTGCTCCACCCTGCCCCCTTCCCATCAGCCACCAGTGCTGGCTCCCTCCACCTACTCTACTGGGCCCACCAAGCTCTCTTCCCAGAGCCAAGTCCTCCCCCTCCCTACTGTCCAGGCCCTGACCACACCCCTACCTCCATCTCTTTGCCTTTGCCAGGGCTATTAATCAGAGGCTTACCTTCTTCTCATATGGGTGACCCCCATAGTCTCCAGATCAGTACTCACTGGGGGATTCTAGGCAGGGGCTCTACCACTGAGTCACACTCCAGCCCCTCACTGGGGGATTCTAGGCAGGGACTCTACCACTGAGCCACACCCCAGCCCCTCACTGGGAGATTCTAGGCAGGGGCTCTACCACTGAGCTGAATCCTCAACACATCTTTATCTTTTTTTCTGAGACAAGGTCTTGCCATGTAGCCAGACAGACACTGAACTTAGGACTCTCTTCCCTCAGCCTATGGAATGCCTGGGACGTCAGGCCTGTGCTACCATGCCCAGATCGAGACATCCGAGTCTTAACGTTTGTCCCCATTGCTTTTCTGTCTCCAGCGTGAAGTTCCTTCTGATGGATGCCAGTGGTCCGCCCAAGGCTGAGACGAAGTGGTCCAATCCCATTTATCTCCACCAAGGTAGTGCTGGGGTGAGGGATTGAAGACTGACTTAACCTCTACCTGAGCCTCATGCTGTAGAGTAAGACCTGGGTCAGATCCATCATAATGGTGCTAAACCTTTGTTGTTGTTGTTTTTAGTACTAGACATTGACTCTTATGCATGCTAGGCAGGGGCTCTACCGCTAAGCCATGACCCTACCCCCTCACTGGGGGATTCTAGGCAGATGCTCTACCACTGAGCCACACCCCAGCCCCTTACTGGGGGATTCTAGGCAGGGGCTCTACCACTGAGCCACACCCCAGCCCCTCACTGGGGGATTCTAGGCAGGGGCTCTACCACTGAGCCACACCCCAGCCCCTCACTGGGGGATTCTAGGCAGGTGCTCTGCCACTGAGCCACACTCCAGCCCCTCACTGGGGGATTCTAGGCAGGGGCTCTACCACTGAGCCACACTCCAGCCCCTCACTGGGGGATTCTAGGCAGGTGCTCTGCCACTGAGCCACACCCCAGCCCCTCACTGGGGGATTCTAGGCAGGTGCTCTACCACTGAAGTACATTCCCAGCCCTCTTTTAATTTATACATTGAGATAGGGTCTGAGTTGCCCAAGCTGGCTTTGGCTCTCCTCTGTAGCCCAGGATGGCCTGTCCTTGAGATCCCCTGCCTCATCCTTCCAGGCAGCTGAGATTACAGACATGTAGCACCAACCGTAGCTCATCATCTATGAACCCTTGCTTAGCTGCCCAGTCCCTGCCTCATCAGCCCCGGGTCCTCTCTACTGCATTCAGGGAGAAGGGCCCAGGCATCATCTTCCACATATAGGCCAGTGTTGGGGGTGGCGGTTGCCTCAGAGACAGGCTACCAAGGCAATTGGGTGGGGTGACTGATGACTGTCATCTGAAGGCTTTCAATGCCTTCAGACGTAGGGACCAACATGGAGACAAGGTGAGTCCCCAGATCTGCCTGCTGCGTGCGTGCGTGCGTGTGGGCAGTGGTGGAGGGACTGGAGGGAATAGTCTAGAAGGCGAATCCAGTGTAGAAGAGGTTGGAACAATGGCGGACCCAGGCTGGTGGAGATGGACAGGATAGGTGGGTTTGGGAGACTCTCAGCCGAGCCTCGAAGCACGTTGAACTTGAATGGTGAGGGACAGACAGCCTTGGGGTGGATGGACAGCCTCTGAATGATTCCTATGTGTGCAGGGAAGTCCCCCAGCTCCATTGACACGTGGCCTGGGAGGCGGAGCGGCTGTATGATCGTCATTACGTCCATCCTCTCTGCCCTGGCCGGCCTCTTGCTCCTGGCTTTCCTGGCAGCCTCCACAATGCGATTGTGAGTGATGACACCCCGAGAGCACCTTCTCTGCCTGGAACCCCCTCCCTGTCCTGATCCCCATCCTGGAGTCCTCTCATGAATGCCGCAGTTCTGAGCTGGCTCATGCCCTGCCAGGCAGTGTGGAGAGAATTTCCAGTCTGTGTCTGTCTCCTGGGTCTGTGCCTTCTGCTGGGGCTCCTCCCCTGGCCTTTTTCTTTTCTCCAGGAGCCTCTGGAGTGGTAACTGCCGCTGGGGTAAATATTAAGGATGGCTACCTGGAGGAGGTGCCTCTCCAGTTGGCTCCACTGCAGAGGGAAGAGAGGCCTGGGGAGATGGGTTTGTAAGTACAGGACTCACTGCACAAACAAGGACCCAAGTCCAGAGCCCCAGCACGCACATAAAGTCCAGATGTGGTTGTGTGTGTCTGTAAACCTAACCCAGGCGAGGGAGGTCCCTAGAATCTGTGGCCAGCCAGTCTTGAAGGGTTTCAGGTAAAGGCTCTGTCTTAAAAAGATAAGGTTGTCAGGACGGCTCAGTGGGTAAGGGCTCTTGCCACCAAGCCTGATGACTTGGGTGGGACCTCTGTCTGGGACCCACATGGTGGAAGGAGACTCCTGCAAGATGTCCTCTGACCTCCACACGCAGCGTGGCATGTGACCCCCCACCAACAGATATATATTTAAATATATGAAATATAGAGAGATCGAGAAAGACACTCAACTCAGCCTCTGGCCTCCCCACATGCACATGCACATGCACACGCACACATAGGTGTGTACCCATGTGCATACATATATACACTACACATTTTGTGCACCAAATAAAAAGGAGGGCCGGTCGGTGAGGGGACAAACGGAGGGGTGAGTGTGCTGGGAAAGGGGACATGGCTGTCATGTGGCATCTTCTGGATTGGGATGTAACTCACCCTCCCCTTCTATCGTGTGCAGCTCCAGCCTGTGGTGGCCCGAGGAAGCCCCTGAGCAGCTACGGATTGGCTCCTTCATGGGAAAACGCTACATGACGCACCACATCCCCCCCAGCGAGGCTGCCACCCTGCCGGTGGGCTGTGAGCCTAGCCTGGATCCCCTTCCCAGTCTCAGCCCGTAGCCTGGTCTCTGCAGCTTGGGCCTGGGGTGAGGGACAGAGCAGGGACACAGGGCCTGTAGCAGGGTCTGGCATCTTCACAGCCCCTCGTATCTGTCTGGCTGTTTGATCTGCTTCTGTCTCTGTCCCTCACTAGGCCTCGGTCTGTAAGTGCATTTGGAGATGGTCAAGGTCAGAGTGGGTTCTGCCTAACTTCCTTTCCGTAAGGCTGGAGGAGGTGGTCCATCCCGTCCTTGACCAGACTTTGGAGAACTCAGGAGGGAGATAGGTGTGGTCTCGCAAGGCTGTGATCCACACACTTAGGGGGCTGAAGCAGAAGGGTTATGTGCGCCAGGCTAGTCTGGGCTGTAGAGCAGAACCTATCTCAAACAAACAAACAAACAAACAAACAACAAACAACAAACAACAAACAAGCAAAAGCCCAGAGAATGCCTTGCTCTGCTGCAGTTAGTACGCTGGGCTGGGCCCATGGTGAAGCACGGGATCCCCGGACCACCTTCTCTCCTACCCAGTCACCGGGGCTGGGGTGCATCTGCAGATGTCCCACCCCGTCCCAAGAGCCTGGCTCTTTCTGAGGGTGGGAGTCGCCGGTGTGAAGGTTAGAGCGTGTAAGTGGCTATTAATGACAGCTGGGCTACCTACCCCAGCCCCTCCACGCACAGGGAGAGGGTTCGCACACTTGTCTGCTCACTCCACATCATTTATTGCGCACCTGCTACGAGCCGCATACAGTGTTAGGCTCCGCCTCGGGCAAAGCTGGTTCTGACTTTGGAGGAGTCTGTCTGCCTCGCTTTGCACCTCAGACTGACACCTGTCCAGATGTGGCATCGGTTACTGTTGGGGAGATGCCATTGTCCTCAGGGTCACACGCTCACAGTTACCGTAGTGGGCTCTTGGGGGCCCCCAGCACTCCATCAAGGAAAAGCTCCCCGGGACAAAGCCGGTGCTTCCCGCTGTCACCACGCGGGGGCGCCCGTGTGCTGTAGGCACCTGGCCGCAGGGCCCGCGCATGCGCTCCTGTGAACCACTTCGTTGCGTGCCTGCACCACCATCCTCTCAGGAGAAGGGTGTAAGGCCGGCCTCAGCCAGGTCAAGCCCGCAGAGCTGTGCCGGTCTCCTCGATGGCAGACCTGAGGCTCACTGGCTTGCCTGCCCACACTGTGCAGCCACCCCGCCCCATGTCCCGTTGATCTTGTCGGATCAAGCTTTTTGGAAATGAATAAAGGTGACTGTGGCAGGAGTGTTTGTTGTCCACGCCGGCTCTGTGACAGGAGCGTGCCAGCCTGTGCTTTGGGAGCCACAGAGAGACCCACTCACATTTCAGGATCCAGTGGCCACAGCGGCTCTCTCCCGGCATATGCTTCAGTGGCAGATTTGGTTTGGTTTGGTTTTGGTTTTTCGAGACAGGGTTTCTCTGTGTCGTTTTGGTGCCTGTCCTGGATCTCGCTCTGTTGACCAGATGTTTATCAAGCCATAAACCCCTGTTTCAGAGTCGTATCCTCCATCCTGCTGCACCCCAGCATTCAAGTGACCCCTGGAGGTGTAGACCTAAGCTACACCCGGCCGAATGTTCCACTGACCAGAGAAACATAGAGCGTGGAGCACCTTTTTTTTTTTTTTTTTTTTTTTTTTTTCGAGACAGGGTTT